ACCAGCTGGCCTGGGGTCGCGAGTGGTGGTTCCCACGCCGGACTCTGCCCCACCGTTGGACTGGGAGCCTCTGGAGCCCGAAGCCCCTTCCCAGGTGAGGCTGGCGGAGCCCCCCAGACAGCATCCCACTGCCACTCGTGAGGCCAGGGTGCCACCGTGGGCCCTTGTCCTGCGGGTCCGTGGGCCCCGGCCGCCCTCGCCCAGCTCTGACCTTGGGGCGGGGGCTGCGTCCCCTTCCTGCGGCTGGCGGTCTGCCCGCCCGCCGCCCAGCCTCTGCCCTTCCTGTTGTTCCCAAGCCGCCGGTCACAGCTCAGAGGCTCCCGCAGCTCCTTGTGGGCTGCTGGCTCTGGCCTGGGCACGAAGGCCAGGCCCGCAGGACATCTGGTGAGCAAGGAGGACGCCCCGGAGCCTCAGAGACCATCTTTTCAGTGGACAGAACAAAGGCCCTAGACGGGAAGGGCGTGCCAGAAGTCTCGGAGCACTGTCTTCCTGAGGCCCAGGCACTGCCTCCCCCCTACCTGAAGCAAGGTTGAGCACATCTCTGGTGCCTGCACCCAGTGCCAGGCATGCAGTCCAACCTGTGGGACTTGCAGGGCCTGGACGCCCACTGGGACCTACCAGGGCTCCTGCAGGGCAGGGTGTGCTACCTGTATTCCCTAGAGGTAAAGGGCCGAGGCCTAGTTCGGTGAGTGATCTGCCCACTGAGTGGGAGGCAGGACCAACCAGCACAGGGACCCAGGTGTCCTGCTCCTGGCCGGGGTCCTCACCACAGCTGGGGCACCCCCCCCAACCAGCACAGAGACCCAGGTATCCTGCTCCTGGCCAGAGTCCTCACCACGGTTGGAATGCCCCCCTCCCACTATTTGCTGTGGGCCCTGCAGGTAGGGAAACCAGAGCGAAGCTCCCAGCACCAAGGGGCCCAGGAATCCCCAGCCCCAGTGAGGAAAGAGTATCTTCCTGGACAGGATGACATGCCTCTTGCATCTCAGGGCCCACCAGAGCTGTCCACAGTGCTAGACCTGGACATCAGGCTTAGTTCTCTGGATACGGGGGGCCAGGGTTGGGGTGGTTGGCAGTACCCACTCACAGTTTGGGCACTTGGGTGTTTGTGGAGTGACTGTATTAACACCAGCAGAGTCAAAGCAGGGCCTGGGCCACTTCCGGGAGTGCTCTGGGGCTGGGGGCAGGCCTTGAGGCAAACTTCTGAGTGTAGACAGACCTTTGGCCTAGCCGCCCTTCAGTGTGGGAAGTGTACAGTTTCAGCAACAGGAGGGAAGACATGGGTGTCCCCCTCCACCTTCCATGTATCTGACAAACGCCAACCCTGCAGCTCTGCTCTGGCTTGGGGGAGGCAGTAGAAGCAGAAGGGGCAGCCTGCCCAGCTGTGCACTCCTGTCTCTGTTTTCTGCAGTTTTGTCTCCTCCTCCTCTGCCACCTCAGAGCTTCCTGTCTTTTTTTTTCTCTTTCCTTTGAATTGGAGTCTCACTCTGTCACGCAGGCTGGAATGCAGGGGCATGCTCACAATCATCACAGCCTGACCTGCTGGGCTCAGGTGATCCTCCTGCCTTAGCCTTCCAAGTAACTGGAACTACAGGTGTGCGCCATCATGCCTGGCTAATTTTTAGATTGACTGTAGAGACAAGGTAGCCCAGGCTGGTCTCGAACCCCTGGTCTCAGGCAGTCCTCTTGCCTCGGCCTCCCAAAGTGCTGGGATTATAGGCATGATCCACTGCGCCTGGCCTTCTTCCTGTCTCTGTTATGGTCTGACAGCGCTCCAGAATGCTACCCTCACAGGGCAGGGCTGTCTCACCTGCTCATGGTATCCCACATGCCTAGAATAGTGCCTAACCTGTGGCAGGGGCTTAGCAAATGTTTCTCCAGCTGGTGAAAACAGTCACAGCCTCCAGTGACACACAGAACCAAAAAAGCAAGGCAGCATCGGCAGAGACGCCTGCTGCAAACAGGATTGACGAGGGGCCTGCCAGGGACCCGTGGCCTGAATGACAGAGGCCCAGCCAGAGGGCGCAGCAGGTCTGGCTAGTGTGCCTGAGCGTGTGTATGGTGGGGGTCTTGGGGGGCAGCTCCATGGGAGAGTGTGGGCTTTCAGGGAGCAGCAACTGTCCCCGCACGGAGCACACAAGCCGGGGTGAGCCCACCACACAAGACAACCCCCAGCCCTAGTTTGTGTGTTGCAGCTTGTGTCCAAAAATGGATGATTCCGAGTCAGGTTTCAACCTGAAAACAGTCCTGGTCAGTTTCAAGCAGTGTCTCAACGAGGAGGAAGAGGTACTGCTGGACCCCTACCTTGCCAGCTGGAAGGGCCTGGTCAGGTGGGTGCACAGGGGCATGCCTCCTTGCAGGGGGACCGGCCTGACAGTGGGGCTCACTTGCAGAGTCCCACGCGGCATATCTGCCTCCCGCCTGGGTTTGGAGGGCCAGCTGGCTAGCTCACCCCACCCGGCCTCCTTCCCCCTGCCTCCGGGATGAGTGTCCCAGGGCTCCGGGGGCGTCCCTTGCACCCAGGCCAGCAGAGACCAGAGCTTCCACCTCCTGTGCAGGTTCCTGAACAGCCTGGGCGCCATCTTCTTGTTCATCTCCAAAGATGTGGTCTCCAAGCTGCAGATCATGGAGCGCCTGTCCAGCGGCCCTCAGCGCGAGCACTACCACAGTCTGCAGTCCATGGTGGCCTACGAGGTAGGCAGCAAGCAGGTGGACCTGGAGCGTCGCTCCCGCCACCCTGACTCAGGCTGCCGGACAGTGCTGCGCCTGCACCGCGCGCTGCGCTGGCTGCAGCTGTTCCTAGAGGGCCTGCGCACCAGCCCCGAGGACGCACGCACCTCCGTGCTCTGCACCGACTCCTACAATGCCTCACTGGCCGCCTACCACCCCTGGATTGTACGCCGGGCCGTCACCGTGGCCTTCTGTGCCCTGCCCACCCGCAAGGTCTTCCTTGAGGCCATGAACGTGGGGTCCCCGGAGCAGGCTGTGGAGATGCTGGGCGAGGCCCTGCCTTTCATTGAGCGTGTCTACGATGTCTCCCAGAAGCTCTATGCTGAGCACGCCCTGCTGGACCTGCCCTAGGGGAAGCCGCCCAGGCCAGGTTTGGGCAGCCAGGCCTGCGAGTGCCCCTGCAAGCTGAGCTCGTTGGCCGTGGGTTGCAATGGAGAAGGCGGCGGCCAGCCCAGAAGAGGCCCACCCTCAGTCCACAGCAAGAGACCTGTTGGCCACAGCTTCCCCATGACCTCCGTCACCTGCATGCTTAGTTGGGCCTCACCAAAGTACAGAAAGTAGAGGAGGTGGAGGCAGGACCCGGCATCCAAAGGCCCAGAAGGCTGCCCCCTCTCTCAGCCGAATCTGTGCCATGGGTGAGGCCACAGGCCCCCAGAGTGCGGAGACTCGCCTTCCCCACCAGCCCACACACCTGGCCAAAGTGTCCTTCCCGTGCAGGTCTCAGGCCTGGGGTAGGTAAGCAGCCCTGTGTTCAGAGCCTTGGTTCCCTTCAGACCCAAGCTGGCTGTCCCTGCCCTGTACTGCCCTGTATGCCTCCCAGCATGCTGGGCAGCTGAACCCCTGAACCAAGGCCTCCCCAGAAGGCCCCGGGAGGGCCTGTCCTACCCTCAGAGCAGCCTCATTTGTGGCCCTGCCTGGCACTGGCTCCCTGCTGGACACAGGCTGCCTTCTGTGTGACCGAGGCCCCCAAAGCCCAGGCCCCTGTCTCCCTGGTGGCTGGTGAGATGCTGTGTCCCTTGTTACCTGCTGTTTCCCTTGCTGTGCCTGTCCCCCTGGAGACCTAGAGGCATGGAACAGGAGGGGCCTGGACCCCACTGCCCACCTGACAGCTCTTGGTCACACCGGGCCCGGATACTGTCCAGCACTTGGGACCTGGCCTGACCACTAGCCCTTCACAATGGACCCAGGACCTTGGGGCAGCATAGGGACAGCACCTTGCAGCAGATGTGTGAGGTTTGGGGGTACATCTGGTCTCTCAGAAACTGTTAACATGTGATGTCTTCCAACATAAATAAATCATGCCTACGGCATCCCAGGACACAGACACTGGGGTGTACCAGGTGCCTGATTCCAGAGAACCCCAGGGGCCCAGCGAGGGCTGCCCTGAGCCTCGAGGGTGACCGGACAGAAAGAACACTGGTGGGCGGGGTTCCCTCAGACACCACCTCAATCTCAAGGTCTACGTAGGCCATGCACCCAGGGGTCCAGAGCAAGGGCGTGAATGTGGCTTTATATGTGTGTGACATGCACATGTGTTGTGCATGCACGTGTGGTATGCACATGTGTGCTGTCATGCACATATGTGCAGGTGCCTGCATGTGCCGTGTGCATGTGTGAGCCCTGTGCGTGTGTGCTGTGTGTATGTGCTTCACAGGCGTATGTGCAAAGGCCAGGTGCCAGCAAGATGGGGCCTGTTGTGCACCTGCACCCAGACCTGGTTTGGCATCGAGGACCCCCAGACCCACACCCAGAGCCAGGCAGAGCTGCTGGGAGCTGCTGACCCCTCAGTGCCGCCTCCACCCCACTACACACACACCTGGTGCTCGCCAGCCTGGCCATTTGCCTACAGCCCTGACGCCCTAGTTTGCATGGCCTCACCTGCAGGCCCAGCTGCAAGCTCTGCTTCCAGAGGGAAGCACAGGGTGCCCGTCAGTCGGGAGTGCCTGGGGGGATGGAATCAGCAGGGTAGGGAAGGGGCACAGCAGAAGAGGGGCCGAGACTCTCCAGGAGGGCTGCTCCCAGACCCCCACCCCAGGGTCCTTCCGTCCTGTTGCAGGGCAGAAGGTTCCACTACCTCGGCTGGTCTGCAAGCCTGGACGGGCTACCTGTGCAGCCCTCTGCCACTGGCAGTTTCAGCATTTGGTTGGAGGTTGGAGCCTCCCAGGGCTGGAGAGAGTGTTCTATGCCTCCAAGAAGCCACCTGGGGAGCCGGCCCCTCCATGTCCCTCCCACACACAGCTGAGACCCCAGTGACCCTCTGTCCTCCTCCCCTCCAGTGTGCTGGGCAGACTAGAGCGCAGGTCCCAAGGCTCTGGCTACCGGCTGCTCAGAGCCTGAGGCAGTCACTGGGGGCCAGGCCTGGTGAGGGCATCAGGCCAAGAATCTGATGTGCACAAACCCTCAGGGCCCGGAAAGCAGCACCCCAGGGGCCCCCAGGGCCGACAGGTGCAGGTGGCAAGGACTTTGCTAAACAAATCTTGTGCCCTCCGCCATTCACTATATCTGGGCTCCCGCCCACGCCCACTGGCCATGCCTACTGGAAGGTGCCCTGCTATGTCAGGCCCCACTATCCTGGGCCTCGGTCTCGCGGCGCTCCTGGGCCTCAGCGTGGCGGCTCCGCTGTGCCTGTCGCGGCAGCTCAGGTTGCATGGGGACTACGTGCTGGGCGGGCTCTTCCCCCTGGGTGAGCCCGAGGAAGTTGGGCTCCCCAGCAGGACGCGGCCCAACGGCACCGTGTGCACCAGGTACGCAGGCGGGTGCCGCCCGGGGCGGGGGACGCCCCTGCACAGGGAGGTGGCAGCCACCCTCAGCTCTGCGTGGCCGCAGGTTCTCAGCACTTGGCCTGCTCTGGGCACTGGCCATGCAGATGGCGGTGGAGGAGGTCAACAACGCGTCGGCGCTGCTGCCGGGGCTGCGTCTGGGCTACGACCTCTTCGACACGTGCTCTGAGCCAGTGGTGGCCATGAAGCCCAGCCTTATGTTCCTGGCCAAGGCCGGCAGCTGCAACATCGCTGCCTACTGCGACTACACGCGGTACCAGCCACGCGTGCTGGCTGTCATCGGGCCACACTCCTCGGAGCTCGCCC